GTGGATCTAATATATTAAACTTCAGTAAGTTCTATTTTGAAGTGCTGAATTCATACTCATAAAGCTCTTGATTTTAGTTTTGCTTCACAGTATCAGTATCACAGGTATCTAATACTAACAGGTCAGACATTTATAATAGGAAGGATTACAATTTTTTGAGTTTGGATTAAGGGCTTGGTACTGGAAATGATCATCCTTGGAGCATTCCACATGTTACCCACCACTACCAAAAACAGATAAAAACAAAAAAAAAGGCCAATTAGAATAATATGCCATATATATTTGATTACAGTATCTTTTTTTATTTGAGTGGGTGGAGGCAGCCATGTATGTGTGTGGATTGCTCTCCCAGTCATCCAGAGAATGAAGGACATCCTCCTATCTTGAAAGTGCCAAAATGTGGAGGCCACTTCTTATCTCTGTGGTTTCACCACAGGCATCAAGAATCCAAACCCTGACAATACTACTGTCAAGCTTCCAGAGGCAAATGGGATGATAATAATGTATTAAACAACTGTTCAACATACCGTTAAAGATTGCTTATTTAATACATAAATCTTAATTGGATGTAATATTTCTCACTATCTTTTCCCCATCTCACTAATTTATTCTTTTTTCTTTTCTTTTCTTTTTTTGTTGTGTCAGGAGCATCCTGTTGTGAGAGAATTGGCCGTCTGCAAGGACGTTGCCCAGGGGACGCCCGGATGATTTTGATGTTTTATCATCCTTGTGGGAGGCTTCTCTCATGTCCCCGCATGAGGAGCTGGAGCTGATAGAGGGAGCTCATCCGCCTCTCCCCGCATTCAAAACTGCGACCTGTCGGTCTTCAGTCCTGCCAGCACAGGGCTTTAACCCACTGCACCACCAGGGGCTCCATACAAATTTATTCTGTCTCCCTGTAATTGTAGCTAAATGAATAGTTCTGAACCTGAACAATTCCCTGTCTTTCCTCAGGCTATCACACTCACTTGTCACTAACTCCCCTTCAAACATTCAACCGATCATCACTCACTCTGATATTCAGTGCTCTCACCCCTTCTCAACCAATCACTTTTTGTATCAAAGTACCATATCCACTTTGTGTTCAATAGAGTGGGCCCTTAGTACAAAGCATCACTGTAATACAAACTGACCTTCTGCATTTTAGAAAGAATTAAATGGGGAAAAGACACAACAGAGAAATACAGCTGTCCATGGTGCTATTGAGAAGGGGGGATCACTGCAAGCCTGGTAGAAGCATGTTCCTGACCTATAGAAAGATGGGAAGTGACAACTGCATTCCAATGGTGTCTGTTTCATCTCTAGTCACTTTCCTAAAGTTGACCATTTTGCAAAGCTGAACTGGATCTACAGCTACGTGGTCATCAATCCGTCTCCTACTGCCAATGTTACTGCTTCAGAGACTTTTCTCACAATATGTCCAATGAGACAGCAACAATAGAATAAGTAAAAAAGAAAAATCAAACAGTCCCCAAATAAACAAATGAAACACACAAGGAATTCTGGGAGAGGAGGCATGCAGATAATAAATTCATTACTTTGCCCATCATAGATATATGAAATTAAAAGAAAGCAGCATGATCCACCCTTTCTCAAAGATTGCTGGATGTCAGAGGAAACAGAAATCAAAGCTTCTAGGAACTGATCCAAACCAATCAACGTCAAATGTACAGATTTCAACTTGCCATAAACCAAACCAAAGAGGAAATGATTCTTTGGCGATAATGTTGCAAGACATTAAAGCGGTCACTCTTAAAACTGTCAATTTATATAAGCCTAAGTTATTTAATTGTTGCAGGAAATCAAATAGCAAATCAAGTATTTAATTTTTGATAGAAGTGTTTTAAAATTTTATTGGATTTCTGGGCATTCATTTCAAACAGCCATAAAAGTATAACTTATTTGATAAGGGTGCTTATATTCAATTGAGTTGGATACAGGCAGCATGGTTCCAATCATTTCTCAGCAATTACAGCAGTTCTTACTTTATAAATAGAATTCAGAAGCAAAAGAACAGGAAAGGCATGCATTTTCCAAAGCCCATTACATTGTTGGACCTTTAAAAATTCTAAGGGAACATAAGCCCACACCAAGTTCTTTTTCCACAGTGAAACAATAAAAAATAGAATCTAGAAAATAGAAGGCAATTATTGAAATAGCAGCCTGGGCTTGTAAGAATAGATTGAAATTAAGGCACAACCTGAGTTTTGAAATGATAACTTTGCAGGCCCACAAAATTGTCTGAAAACGCTGATTGAGTTCATAGAAATGTGAAGAACTGTTTTGGCTAAAATACTTAATCTTTATTTCATTTATTTTAAAGATAGCCAGAAACATTTAACAACCTATTCCTATTTCTGTCTAGCCAGAAATATATGATGTTAAATTTAATGAATTTGGATATAGCACTGCAGATTAAACATAAAAAGTATACATCATACCCAATGAACTGGTCATATTATCTGCAAATAATGACCTTGTCCTTTGGTTATCTAAAATGAATGACATGAAATATCTTCGACATTTGTGTCTCCTAGTTGGTGTTTTAATAATGCACCCAATGTGACACTCGCTTTAGCTTTGGGATTTTTGCTCCTCTCCTTGCAGCCTTGTCACTCCAAAAACATGTTTTTGGGGAGGGGGGGGGGGGCTCTCCAGTTCACAAACTTGTGGGATTCTCAGAGGACTTGAGTGGGGAGGAAAGACTATGTACACACACAACCTTAGGCTGCCTTTCACTCTTGTGAAAGTCCACAACTTGATACATCCCTCCTTTCCACTGCATGAAGGTTTTAGAATCCTCTTACATAAAACTATTGAGTTATCAGATGAAAACTGGCATGGATGCAATTAGATTTAGAAGTCTTCCTTCTATTGTGTGACCTATATATTATTACAATTTGCCAATTCTACTTTCAAGTCACAGTTACCTTTCTTTAAACCCATGAAGGCTTAAAAACTCATAGAATCATAGAGTTGGAAGAGATGTTGTGGGCCATCCAGCACAACCCCCTGCCAAGAAGCAGGAAAAAGCATTCAAGCAATTTCCAAATCCCAAAGAGCTTTCTCCTGACCTGATCTGTCAAAGCAGCCTGAATAAAATGATCAATAATATATAGAATACTACAGAATCGTGCAGCTTCTTGTGTGGTTATGTCTTTCAACTATCATGGCTTAAAAAGAGATATGCCTTGTAGTTCTGCTTTAGGGTTTCCACCATAAATTATATCTCCTCACTTCAGAGAGTACATTCCACAGAAAAAGCCAGCAGAGATTTGGATGGACATGTTTTCCAAGTTCTCTTTCCTCTCTTCCTTTTCTTCTACAGTAGTTCTTAACACTTTATTTATCCAGTCACTCTATATTAGAAGTTATTCAGGTAGTTCATAAACACAGCTATTAAAATTCAGTATAATGAAATAGTCAAATAAATAAAAACATGAAATAATAAAAAAACAGTGACTATTTGTAAGTATAGAAGGTTTCAGTGCCAAACTAAAAACAAAATTATTTTAAAGGCTTGGATGCGTTAAAAAAGTCAACATATGGAACTCAAGAGACTATCAAGAAGAAGCCAGGAGACTCTGGGATGAATACCCCCTAACTAATACATCACTACCAAAGCATCCCACAATTAGCAGGGATGCTCACAACAAAGTACTGTAAGGGCAAGTATGCAGGGGGGAAGGCTACTTTTTGTGTGAAGCCTAAATCTTCCTTCAGCTCTGCACAGCTGCCAAAGAGGAGCCTGATAAATATCTTAATTCTGCATGTATATCTCAATTCCTTCAGAATAAATTGAACAAGATACAATTTCTTTGGCTCCCATTCAGTAATATTAGCAATATTGGCTTGACAACTTACTGACAAAATTGCAACAGCTTAACCAGATTTTTCTCATTTTAAGTCAATTTGGATATTAAATGTCATGCTGAAAACTACTGAAGGCCCATTTGTAAATTTAAAAAGAGAGCATGTTCCTGCTGCTAATTAAACATACCGTATATACTTGAGTATAAGCTGACCTGAATATAAGCTGTGGCACCTAATTTTACTACAAAAAACTGGGAAAATGGATTGAATCAAGTATAAGCAAAGGGTGGGAAATACAGCAGCTACTGGTAAATTACGAAATAAAAATAGCAATAACATTACATTAATTTGAGGCATCAGTAGGTCAATTTTTTTGAATATTTACATAAAACTGTAATTTAAGATAAGACTGTCCAACTCGGATTAAACCATTATTCCTCACAACCTCTAAGGGATAGATGCAGGTAAAACGTCAGGAGAGAACACTTCTAGAACATGGCCATACAGCTTGAAAAACCTACAACAACCAATTATTCTAACCTTCTTCAATGTAAATGTGCTTACGTATCCATTCAATAATAATAAAGAGAGTAAAATAATAAATGTATTAATAAAAATAATATTAGAATAAAATAATGGAAATGTAATAATAAAGGTAATATTAACAATAATAAAGTAAAATAATAAATGTAATAATAATAGAGTACTATGCTAAATGTAATAATAATAATGATAATAATAACAACAATAAATAGAGTAAAATAATAAATAACCTTGATTCGAGTATAAGCTGAGGAGGAATTTTTCAGTCTAAAAAAAGGGCTAAAAATCTAGGCTTATACTCAAGTATATACCGTAACTTCATTTCTTGCACAAGTAGGTGTGCTAAAGAACAGACAAGCCAGTGATACATGGTGGAGTTCAAAATTTTAAGGTGTGGTTGTTCACTAATTATGTTAAATCACAGTGTAATCATCAGTATTATAAAAATTCAGTTTCACTTAGTTGCAATTTTTGTCACAAAGAAGTAAATAACCTAAATAATGAAGGATATCTTACTTGTTCCTATGGAGATTTCTGAGCTTTATTCCTGGGGAAATTATTTATTTCCTATATTTCCTGTCTGTCTTGTAATTTTAGATTTGTCCACAGTACATATTAGTTATCATTATAATGATGTATTTTACCTTGAGAAGGTATGTAGGGATATTGCTGAAGTCCACTGGCAATTTCAGAAGAAAACGAGCTGAGAATTCACCTGTCTGCAAATAAAAATAAAGAGTGAGATCTATAATAAATAACATCCTTGTCAGCAGCAACTAGTCTTACATTAAACCTCTGATCACTGACCACTGCTAATAAATAAAGAGAGAGTATTTCAGTCACAGCCTGAAATGAAGTAAATGTTTTTTGTTTAACAAGTAGTACTCCAAACTCCATCTGTTAAAATTATAGGACTGGAAATTTTGCTAAATTTTGAAATTTGACTCAGATGGCAACCAATAACTACTGGTATGCTGTTATGCTGGCATATTCACAATTCATTTATCTCTGGTTATTTTATTTTAATTTTTTTTTCTTTTGCAATCACAGTATAAAAAGCATTTGTCTGCTTTTTTAATGTTTTTCCAATTGATACTTATGAACACTGAAAAAATAAGAAGCATTCCAAAAATGATACTATGTTAGCATGACCCGAAGACTAGTTCCCAGTAAGTTTTGCGACTATATTTTCCTAGTATGATCTGCCCAGCATATGAAAACCAATTAGGGAAAGTACTGAGGTATAATTACATGAAAATACTTCTAATGTCACACTTTGGATGCAGTGCAATAATTCTTACACTATATTTATTATTTGCTTCAGAAATGCTCTGAGAGACTATAGCTTAGCCTTCTCTCATCTGATTCAGTCCAAACTTTTGGAACTACAATTCTATTTATCCTTATTAACTATAGTGCCCTAGGGCTGATGGGAAATATAGACCAATATATACAAAGCCACATACATTAATGGATGCTAATGCATAGCCAGGCAGCTCACATCCTAGCATATCTAAGCCCATTTCTTTCACAGTCTCACAGCTAGCTTAATATAAATGTATAAGACGACACTGGCTTGTATAAATAAATATGTTTATATCAACAAGCAAAACAATACATTTAAAAAGTGAGTGACTGCAAATAGTCATATTAATTCTACAACATAATCTGCAGCCAAGTTAGTAGCAAACAGGTTTTCCCAGAAGACCAGTTTAAGAACTGACACAGCATCTCAACTTCCATCTCTTAAAGTGATGTGACAGTAAGCACTATTACTATTTCCTGACACTCGTTTGCCTCTAAAATTGGCAACAGAAGAAGTTAAAGGAGGAGTCAGCACATTGTTACAGGCACCCTTGGGTTGCTGACTATTAAACTAAAATTTAATTACGATCAGATTAAAAATCTTAATTTTAAATCTTACATTACCAGAATTGGAATTCTTTTATTTTATCCTTAAACTACATGGGATAGTTCTGTAGGTTCTTAAATCCATACAACAGTTTCAGAATTAGTTATTTATCTAGAAATCAGGTTCAAGTAAGGTAATGTAGCTGAAGAACAAAAAGTGGGAGTGAAGAAGAGGGGTAAATTAGGGACATGTCATTTATTTTAAGAACCCAAAATCTAAAACAAATAGGTTTACCAAACCAGTAGCTACAATTACTAGGGAGAAGGATTCTCAAGGAATCTTGCATTACTTTTCTAGCACACATACCCAGTTGTTCTTCTTCCCTGCATAAATTTCCATGTTCTCTCCATATTGCGGTTCCTCAAGTAATGTTTGATATTCAAACATTAGACGAGAGCTCTCGCGTAGTCTGCTGCACTGAAACTGGTGATACTGTTGCACAAGCTCTTTTACAACAAGCAGGAGGCATTCGGGATCTGAAGGATTCCAAGAAGCTAAGTTCTAGGCAATAAAAAGACAAGGACTAAAATGTAACCTTCAAATAAAGTAGGAGTCACATAATTGGTTATTCACTGTCCAAGTGTGGTGTGAGTTAGACCTGCCTGTATGGCATTCCAAATGTACAAGAGGGTCATTTATAGCTCCATCACTAAGTTTCAACTTTTGCTGCCTCTTCCCTTTGCGCTGAAAGAACAAGATGAGTGCAGCAGCAAAAACACCGGTCATCCCTGCAATAAATATGGAGCCTAATTCAACCCTATTGCTGCCTGGGGGGATCCTTTGTTGGGAGGTGTTAGCTTGCCCTGATTGATTCTTGTGTGGAATTCCCATTTATTGAGTGTTGCTCTTTATTTACTGTCTGATTTTCGAATTTTTAAAAAATACTGGTAGCTAGATTTCTCTTCATTTTCATGGTTTCCTCTTTTCTATTGAAACTGTGGGATCTTCTCACCTCTGCAGGAGTCAATCGTATACCATGCAGCTGTGGACACATCTACATAGGGATCACCAAACACAGCGCCCAAACACGAATCAAGGAACATGAAAGACTAATTCAACCTGAGAAGTCAGCCATGGCAGAGCACCTGATGAGCCAACCTGGACAAAGCATATTGTTTGAGAACACAAAAACACTGCAATGTCAGACTACACAGAGAAGTCATTGACATCCACAAGTATGTGGACAATTTCAACAGAAAGGAGGAAAACATGAAAACTAACAAAATCTGGCTACCAGTATTTAAAAACTCTAAAATCAGGACAGTAAATAAAGAGCAATACTAAAAAAGGGGAATTCCTGACAAGAATAAATCAGGGCCAGCTAACACCTCCCAACAAAAGATCCCCTCATGTAGCACTCAGCCAGGTTTTGAAGTTACAAGGCCATTAAATGCTAATCAAGGTAGCCATTTGCAACATTCACACTTGCCTCAAGCAGACATGAGTTCTTTCTCCCACCTTGGACATTCCACAGAATATATAAACCTCACTTGCCTAGTTTCCAACAAACCTCACAACCTCTGAGGATGCCTGCCATAGATGTGGGTGAAACATCAGGAGAGAATGCTTCTGGAACATGGCCATACAGCCAAGAAAACTCACAGCAACCCTCTTATTGCAATATTTGACATTTGTTTCCTACATAATACCAACATGGCTATCAATTCACATTTATTTGGACTGAGCAGAAAATAACCCTGGTTCAACCAGTTTAATTGTATGAAGTACATCATGTATTCTGCAGAAAATAAGTCTTGCATCACAAGGTCAGAAGCAAGCTAGCAAACTGGCAAGCATACTGTCTGTACAACTTCCACTTCCTTTTCTCAAGGTTTTAGGTGAACACCCTTTCCAGAAAGTTTTAGGATGGAATGTGCTAGTACAGGATGATATCAGCACAATGAGGAATGCGAATAAACTCCCACATTTTTCTTTTGTGTTACATCACTAATATTGTGTTAAAGGAAATGACCATTTTCATAATTGACCTATATTAAGGAGGAAGAACTCCCCACCCAGTGCAATAGAACCAAAGAAACACTGCTCCTGATGGCATCTTTTAAACAGATGGAACAAAAAGGTTAAGATTTAATCCACTGGCCTTTGGGGGGAGACAACAATGGTATGACTGTTTCTAACAACAAATAATGTTATATCAGGATAGTTTCTGAGATATTAATTTTAGAAGCAAACAGAATTATCTCATCAAATAGCTATTCCTCTCTAATGTCAAACAGATATCAAGTCTTAACAGATGAGTCACTCAGAGAACAATTAGTTATTTTTATGTCTCTTTTTAAAGAAACAAACCAGAGTCTGTATTTAATATTAATCTGTTAAACCCAATACTTATAACCCAAATAGAGTGAAAAGCTACTTTTGTAGATTAAAAAACAAAGAAAAATATGACTTACTTAGGGATTATTGGACACAAAAATAGATACTGTTTATGAAAGATTTGGAGAAACTGATAATGAGGTAAGATCTTCTAATTATCTTTTTGAAAGAATAACCAAGTCTGGAAATAACTATTTTCCTGGTCAAAATGATACAATTCTGCAGAAAACAGGCACATGTTCCACAAAACATTCTATCTGTCTTATTATCCTAGACAGTGCAAGGATTCAACCATTTTAAACCAGACAGTTTTGTTGCAGAAGCGAAATAGTATACACATTTATTCACAAAATTCAAGACTTGAAAACAATTTAATTAAGTGGTCGTCTTTGTTGCTTAACCAGATTTAATTTTTTAATTAAAAATGTCATTTAGGATTTTTCAGTTACCAACAGAAGATTGTAAATAGAATATTAAGAAAGAAATGCTGTAAGGAGACGATTAAGCACTACAGGCAGGTTAACATAATTACTAGTCTTCGCAGGGGTGGGGGGGTGGGGAGAGACAAATATGGTTAATTGTGCCACACAATTGAAATGGCAATATATATTGGCAGAAGAATTTTGCAGATGACTACCTTCTTTCCTGGCACATTCCATGATAGCATGACTTAAAACAGTTTTTTCCCTTTTTGCCATGTGCTTTCAAGTGGGTAATATTCCAGAAAGCAGCAATTTAGTAGCATTTGTAAGATATTTTGTTTTTAAAAAATAATATATTAAACACTTGGGCAAAACATTCATTTGCTGTGTTTAACCAGACTTTTTTTTTCATAAAAGATCAAGAAGCAGCAATTTCAAAATGGGAATTTTTGTTTTTTATTTATTTATCATGTCAGAAGCAAACTAAGGGTACAGTAGTAATGTATTTGAAAACACCAACATGAGAGAAGACTCCCTACAGGATCATAACATATCCGGGCGTCCCATGGGCAACGTCCTTGTAAATGGCCGATTCTTTCACAACCAATAGCCACTTGCACCATGCAAACAATCAATCAAAATGGGAGAAATACAGTCAAAAAAGATTTTACACCCATAGATCCCCCCCCAAAAAAAAAATCCCAAAAGCAAAAATTAATTTTGCAATTTGATAGGAGGGACATCCCATTGTATATAATGGGATTTGAACATCCATGGATTTTGATACTCACAGGAAATCCTGGAACGAAACCCCGTCAAATATTGAGGGCCCACTCTATTTTTCTATTATGTTGTGCACAATATTTTTGGACTTGAGACCTAGACATTTTTAACAGAGATCTTAGGCTTTATGAGTTAATACTGTCAATTGCATTTTCTCAAAAGTTATGAAAGAACAGGAAAAGAAAATGAATTTTGAAGATTGGTGAACTGTGGGCTGAGATAGGGAGCATTTGCAATCTTCCATTACCAAACAATACAAAATATATTTCCTGGCTTTGTAATACATGTAGGAAGATGTGAACTTCAATTTAACTGTACATAAGATTTTGACTGGACAATACACTAAAGATGTGGCGACACCATTGTCCAAATATTCTATGAAGCAAGCAAGTAAATAAAATGGTAAGCATTTGAACAATTCCTGGAGATTGTATCATTTACACACTTACATACTGCTGCTTCTAATTAATTTAAATATTCTGCTTCTCAAACTTACTTTAATTTCTGTTTTTAAAGAACCAGCACTGGAAGGATGGCAAATGGGAAACTTAACAGAGATTATAACAATTTAATATTAAACACTATTTCAGTTTTAAAAACAAGTGTTCCACACGATTTACTGTTGTGTCAGATAATACTCAGTGAAACTTGACTAATGTAGAATTACTTAATTAGATATATATATATATATATATACACACACACTTCTGATCACTTGAAAAGCAAGTCAAGAATCTTATTATGCTAGCTCAAATTACATGCAAGTTTGCAGGTAAGGTAGCCTTACAAATTAAGCTCTGAATCTGGATTCCCAGGTTTGTGCCGTGGCCAGGAATTCATTTACACAACTAACACTCCGGCTTCTGTTCCTGGAGTGCTCAGACCTGGTCATGGAGACACAAGTCTCAGCTACATCCATTTGGATTACTGCATCATGTTCCATGTTGTCTTTGCTTAGACATTTCTGCTGGTCCAAATGCTTTAGCCAAACTGTTAACTGTGACTGATTACAAGAAGCACATAACTTGTCTGTTGCACTAGTTTCACTCATTACTGGCCCACTTCCAGGAACAATTCAAAGTGCTAGGTATAACTTAGTCCAGGCTATCTGAAAGACCGTGTTCTTCCACAGAACACAGATGTGGACAAGAAGCCATTCTCTTTCTTGGCCTTGGCACTTTCAGAGGAACATTTAATAAGCAGCGCAGAGAGATCCTTTAAGTGGCTCCTCTCAGGCAATGGTCTGCAATTCAAATGGCAGAAAGAGAATCCCCTCCATTCTCTTTTGGCGAGTAGGCAAAAAGCTCCCCATTCAAGCATGACTAATTTAATTATATCTTAATATTGATAACTTATTATGTTTTTATTAGTAGTGGTTTTTTTTTTAATTATTTTGTAACCAGCCTTTGGCTGTAGGTCTGGAAGAAATCTAAGATACAAAGAGTGAGATCTTCCATAGATGTTATTTTTCAATTTCTAAGATCAGAAAAAGCTTGCCAGATATGCAATTTGGCGATATCAATACAAGAATTAGAAAATCGTGAGTTTTTTTTTTTTTAAAAATAAATTAAATGGAACCTGTTTTTCTTAAGAATGTGCTTAAGCATCCAGGTTTCTGGAATATCTTCCAGGAACGTGACTCTGAAGAAGACAGCTTGCTACTGTTTTTCCTGGCTGAACTACAGAAAACAGCAAGATCTTCAGTTACTGGGGTTTATTCCCATATTTTTAGGAGGAGGGAATTAAGTGAAATAATTGTCAAGAAAAATAAATGTCAGGAAACACAAGATATCAAGCCCTTGATAGCAGTGAATAAGAGTAAATTTATGCAGAATTTTTCTTCACTGATGACTCAGAAGGATGTCATAAGTTCAACATGAAAGCAAAGGAAAGATTTAACTTGTATATTGAGATACGCCTTAAAATATCTATAAAAAATAAATGCTGTATTCTGAAATAGTTTTGAAAACTACCATTGCCACACACTAGTATCCAAATATGAAGTTTAGTCATCTAATTGTTCTATGTATGTAATACTCTTTTCTCTCACTATGAATGTAACATATTACTCTTTCTGTTGCACAAAAAATCTCATAGCTTCTTCCTTCTTCACACATTACATTTCTGTATACTTTTCAAATATCTTAGAGGTTTGATCAGAATTCTAGAAACCGAATGCTACCACAGACACAAGATAAGGTGCAAATTCTATTATTTCTCCTTTCTCTTTGCAGAAATTATGTCCCCAATATATGGTCTGGATAGTTGGGACAATACTCTTAAGCAGTAGGAATACTGAGAAAACTAGAACACTGATCAAAATCACCCCTGCTCACAAGTCTTCCGGAGCCCAAGCAGCGTAGAACTAATGACTGATTTCTGCAAATGGAGAAAGGAGTTTCATTCACTGAAGAACATTATGTGAAAATCTTACACCTAAAATTATACGTTGTTAAATTTAAAAAACATTATGCTTGCACACACTTTATTCATGCAGTTATACTTATTAGAGAATCAGCATTTATCACCTTTGTGGCAATATCAGGTTTACTCTTTCTAGTGTATGAAAATAGTCCTGATTCTGTAGTACAAGTATTTTAGTAAGGAACCTGTGTTCTTGAAATCTACCCCCTCCCATTATACTCATTATAATTTAATATAGTTTTGCAATAAATCATGCCTTCCTTGTAAAAAAGTATATTTTACATAAACTGTTAGAAAACACCTGCTGCTTTGAATTCAATAAATTATTGTTAGTGTTTCTGTTATATTATGTCAGAAATCAAGGCAATGTATTACTACACTGAAAAAAACTATCAAATCAAAAAGGATCCTCAAGAAGAATGATATTGTTTTCTAAAAAGAGCAGAAGTTACAATGGATTTTATAAAATATAGTATTTCATAGAATCACAGAGCTGGAAGAGACCTCCAAGTACCATCTAGTCAAACACCTTGCCATGCAGAATCAAAGCATTCCTGACAGATAGCCGTCCAGCCTGTTTTAAATTCAAATGTAGTAAATCCTCCAGACTAGGAGACTTCACTACACACTGAGGCAGAGTATTTCACTGTTGAATAGCTCTTACCATGAGAAAGTGACTCCTAATGTTTAGATGGGATGTTCTTTTGTTTTAGCTTGAATCTATTGCTCCATGTCCTATTAACTGGAGTGGCAGAAAACAAATTTGCTCCAGCTTCAGTGTGACAGTCTTTCAAATACAGGGTGTCCTAAAAAGATGTACCTACTTTTACCAGCTTATAATTGTGGAAATTTATGGTTCTATGGTTCTAACTACCTTCTCTTTTAGTATTTCACTTACGTTTGCTAAAGTCAGCTTTCTTAAAGGATAAAATGCACATTAACTTAGCTTGGCTTTCTGTTTCTGCCATATCATGAACTCCAGGAGAATATTCTCTGACTATTCTATTCCATTCACTTGGTCATCCCTGTTGGTTAGGATCAGATCTAAAATACCTCCCTCACCATCCAAATTCTGCCATTTTAAGTAGACACTGAAAAAGAACTGAGCATTCACCTCCAAATTCTCCTGCCAAACAACCACACAAAGCATCCTGTTGGTCTTCCCTGTTAACAAAGCTCCTGTTCGCTGAGCTTCAAGGACTGGAAATGCAGCTGTATAAAGAGTTAGTGGCTGCTATCTTTACTCAAACATGCCCACCCGCAAAACTATATGCTCTGGTAGAGGACCTGGATCTTCATACAAAAGTGTAATAGAATGCTAGCCAACACTCAACCAAGGTTTCTCCCAGCTCACAAAAAAACAAACAGCCTTACCTCAATAGACACAATAGTCTTACCTCCCAAAATACTTTCTGATGCTGGGAATGTTCAACCCAGCAGATATAATCTCGCCTTATACTATCTCTTCCACAACACACATGCAAAATACCCCTTGGCCTTTCTTATTACTCAAGCTCCAGTTTGCCTTTACATGAGCAGTTTCTAAAGCAATCCATCCAAAAGGAAGCTCAAATGTGTTGATTCAACTAAAACTGATAAAGCCAGTGTACCTGAATTAGGTGATGTTTACAAATTATTTATAGGAGATAGCTGAAATGCCTTAAGATACAACAGCGAATCTGGAAAATTCCATTTTTCAAAGTGACAGTTGAACCCTTTTGATTTAAAATAAGGAAGTTAAATGTCCCATATAAATTTCCTAAAAATATTGATTTTGACAAAGTATGCCTATGGGATGTAAAGTGAAATATCTCAGAGAACATATGGTATTCGAGGTAACACTGGGCTTGACTACATTAACCTTATTTATAACAAGTTGAGTGATGCTCGCCTGTCCAAATCCAGAGGCAATACAGCAAGCAATGTTCACAAACTCAGTTAGTAAACTGAATGAGAACCTGGGGACCCAGTGTGTTCATTCTACATATTCCATAGGAAAACAAGACCCAAGAAGATATTGTGATTTTATATATATATATATATATAAATATATATATATATATATATACACACACACACACACACACACACACACACACATACACACACACACAGTCTTCCTCAACCTAGTACTGTCCAGACTAGAACTCCCATTATTGCTAGTTAACATGTCCAAACTAGAACTCCCTTAATTGCTAGTTAACATGGCAATAGTTAAAAACATGTGTGGCAAATTGTTGAATATGATAAAGAACAATATTAAAATTAGCTCAAAAGGGCAAATATATTGCACACTTACTTATACCTTGAGAATGGCAAGATAACTGCAAGTTTAAATATTGTACAAGCAAAATGTATTTATGTTAATTATAGCATTGAGACATGTATACACATACAATGAGCTACAAAAAAATTAAATGGGTCGTTGTAGGGTTTTTTGGGCTATATGGCAATGTTCTAGAGGCATGCTCTCCTGAAGTTTCACCTGCATCTATCACCTTGCCTCTGGATTTGGACAGGCGAGCATCACTATGTTGTTTTCTTAACAACAAAGAAAAACCCAACCTCAATGTGGTTATCAACAACTCTGATCACAGCACTGGCTAAGATAGTTAAAATTATTGATATCTAGTATCTTACTCATTAACAACAAACAATCAATGTTAGCTGATGACTAACGCACATTGGAAGAAGCACATCATCAAAAATCTGTGCAAAGATGGACTGAGGAATTTCATTGTGGATTCATAGCCATGTCTAAATAGTCACCTCTGTGTATTGGTAGGTATGTTACTTCACACAAGCAAGGCAGAATATACTCACATGCAAGGCTGATGGATCAGGAAGAAATTCTGCATCTTCTCCAAAGATAAAGTCAGGTGGCAATTCTGGATAGTGGGCATTAAAAATTATATCCCCTAGATCAAGTAAACAAATAAAACAAATCATTTTAACTATTGACACAGAGGGAGAAATCAGTACATACCAAGAGCATAATACTAGAGCATTATAAGAGTGAGCCTTCAGAAAAACATGGAGTCATGTACTCTTCTCTCACTGGGCTGTAGCTTCTGTTTTAGATTTGCCAGACATTAGTATACTGTTTGCGTCAACTGTAACTTTTCATAATTGTGGTTGGAAACTGGAAGTCGGCTTGTTTCAACAAACCATAGTTAAAATTAAATATGGCTTATTAGGTTTAGATGAAACCACACATTTGTTGCAAGACACTGCTGCCAATCAACAAAGAGAAGCAAAAGCTATTTCTTATGGCAGCTCTGAGGAAACAGTTTATTGTGTCTTGTTCTTGTATTGCTAAATCAGAACACACAAATTCTTCCAAAAGAACTTTTTATAACCAAATTCTGCCTCTTTCAAAAAAGTATCTCCTAAATTTAAATCTTTAAAAATACATGGTTTTTAATTACTTTTACTGATGTTTAGCCTGGAAAAACAAAGGCTGAGAGGGGACACAATAACAATGTTTAAATGTTTTAAAAGATGTCAATTTTAAGAGGGGGGAACTTGTTTTCTGATGCTTTACAGACACTCCAGGACAACATTTTAAAAAGGAAAACCAGCAGCCACATGAACATGTTCACAAGGACAGTGGCTACTATCACATCCTGCTATCAGAGGAGTGTTTCAATATCTCACTACAGACTCCAGCTGGCCCCATCCCTGTGCTACACAGAAAGAAGCAAAGGCTGCTCTCTACTAGGCTTGTGAATTTCAGCTGAACCTTGACCTGTTTCTGCTGGCTGGTTACCGGTAGACCCCCGTATCCGTTTTTGCATGCCTCCTGAAAATGGGCAGGTTGCCGAAAAGCCTTTTTTGGTCCACAGCCACAAAATGTGGCTAGATCTGGCCCATTGGCAGCAATGAGGAACTTAAGAGGCTCCCCTTTCCATTCCTAGGATCCTTTACTTTCTTCCTTTCAATAGGACCTGGGTTTGAGGAACGGGGTTAAAGAACCACCCTTCCTGGGACCCTTTCCTTTTCCCCCTTCAAGGGAGCCTGGGTTTTAGCAATGGAGTTAAGGAAGCAGACACAGTGTGCGTAAGACACATCATGGCGTGCTTCAATTCTGATTGGCCCAACAGGCAGGATTCACAGGGGAAACCCCGTGTGAGCAGCACTATGCTGAATTGGGGGGGGGGGGGAGGAGCCATTATCAGCTACCATGTGGTCCCATTATGGACAGAAAAACTTGATGGCTGGGCCCTTGCCATTACGGCCATTTGACCAAAGCCAGATTAGCCGAATGGAACCGACCACTCCGAATCCATGCACAAGCCTACTCCAACTTTTGGAACAGCAAGTAGTATTGCTTTTCAAATTTTTAAAAAATATTTTCAAGCTATGCATGGTGAAATCCATGGATGAAGAATCTGAGGCTATGGAGGGCTTACAATATATTTTAATATCAATAAAAATCATCACATCTAAATCCAAACCTATTATATTTATTGTTTTACAACATGGTTACAATTATATATGCTGTATTTACTGCTCATCGAAATCCGTAAAGTGAAGAATTTACCCAAGTTATGGATCTGGAGAATTGTAAACATCTTTAATGAGTTCCTTAAAACTAGAGTCACGCAATGAAAATACACTTCAGGTGTCAGCAGAAATGGAAGCATTAACATAGATTTTTTAAAAAGTTTCACTTCTACATATCTACCTGTATCACAAAGCTATATGTAACAAAGACTATATGGCAGTCTTCTTCAAAACGTACTAAGTTTTACTTTCACATTGCATAATCATGTGAGCATACATCACCTGCACTTAACTCCTTAATTCCAGTATCAAAACACAGAATTCTTTCTTTCGAAAACACAAAAGATATAATTTAGCCATATGTAGTCCCAATTTCTCCAATAAACAATACCTGTTAAGAAATGTAAGGAGACACTTGGCTGACTTGTAGGCTATACATTGCCCGAGACAGGAACTTTCCATAAAGCAGCCACAAGACACAGAGAATTATTTCTGTAATATCCCAAAAAAGCGGGGTGGTGAGGGGTGGTCTTAAACAGGTGCATGGTAGACTGCTTTCTCTAGAGGATACTTTTCTCCACTGTACTGAAGTTCTCTATTCCACCCAGACAACAGTAAACAGACAAAGAAGGCTGTCCTATTCAGATGTAAACTATGCCCAAGAGAATTGTCACATATCGTATCACCAATTCCCATGTCACTGAAACCAGGACACTATGATTTAAAGTGCTCTTTAAAGAGTACATAGTAAGATCACTGATACTTCAGTACCACTACTTCTGATGTCCTCTTTTCAATTATAGTAATCAATTCATTAAGCTTAATCCAGTTTCAAGCAATTAAGATAGAAAATTTAGGTGCAGGAACTGCAAGATTTGTCATAAAATTCAAACTACCTATCCAATAGTAGTTCTGGTGAGACAAACTAAAGTAAGAGTTTTTGAAGTTTGTAGTAATATATAATTGAATACTTTATTTATATACCATCCTATCTATACCCGAAGGGACTCAGGGCAGTGACAGTAACTCTTCTAAAAATAAAGTAGCACCCATGTTAGTGAAACGCGATTAGAGATAAACTCTCTCAATATCACTTCCTCTCTCCCTATGTATATATAACATATGGAGGAGTTCAGAAAGTTATAGAAACAGGAGAACTCACATTTGAAAACTAACAATGTTTTACACAATAAAATGATTCTGCAAACGAATGAATGATCGGTTTCCAAAATATCAGAAACTAAAATTTCCCTTGATTTCAGCAGAGAGAGAGGGGGAAAGAAAGAGACAAATGCTTCTAAAGATTATGAGAAATAAAAACTCTCTGTACAGAGACATTCCAAAATGCCAAGTGATGAATAAACCAGAAGAGACTACCTGGCCCTTCAGCATGGTAGCCACTCTCACTAAAGGTCCGGAAAAAGCTGGTATCTTACAAAGAGGATGTAGCTATACCCACAAAGGAAATACACACTTCAGCTTATGACTAGCACTATCATCAGAAGAGAAAACCATGGACTCTTCAAGTGTTTCTCACATTTTGTGGTCCTTCTTCATAGTAATATGTCCTGTTCTTAAAAGATAACAACCACATATCTAACAACAGGATGTCTGGTATTCCTGAATGCTGTGGTCTTGCAGTAACACCTTCCACTTGTGGTCAGTAAACTTTTGTTTTATTTTTGCCCATTAACAGACATTTTCCTTTAAGCCACAAATCTGATTTATGCAGTGAATTGTAGCAGTTTAAATATTTTTCCGATTATTATTTATCAGAAGTTATATTATTTTCATTTTTTCTCAAGTTATTCTAGTCCAATTGTTTCATATACTTCTTTCTTTTGTGAGTCTCCCACTTAAGACTCTTTATTTGTCCCTAATATGGTTTTCTAAACAGGTACCAGATACATTATTATATGCACAAGATACTGTGTATATAATAATGTACATTATAATGTGCACAGAAGGATTTTCATAGCATTGGCAACTTCTCTGTGATCGGCCCCCACCCCTGGAATGTCTTCCTCAAAGAGATTAAAACGGCCCTTCCCTCCTCTCCTACAAAAATCAATTAAAAACCCACTTGTGCACTTTAGCATATGTAGAGGAGGAGAACTAGGGAACGATAGTCCATTAATTCAGTTTTGATTATTATCATTCTCTTTGGCCTTAGTGGGTCGGTCGGCGTTGTTGGATAAGTATGGCAATCATAGCTAATTTTCAATTTCAAATTTTTAGTGAACCTTCAGGTGCTCTTCAAACTGAGGCTCATGTTTTTATGGTTAGAAATACTTTGTTGTTTTTATGGTGAGATATAACTTTATAATGTAACTGTCTGTGTAATTCTGGGCTCTTTTAGGTTGTTTTGGGATTGGGTGGATCAGGAATGTATTAATGTTTGCACTTGTGGTGAGGCATGGAATGTTTACCTCTATGTCTTTGTTCATTGAAATCTACCCTTAGTCCCCTTGGGGATATAGGGTGAAATACAAATAAAGTTTATTATTATTATTATTAAAATATAAAATCCAAACTATAATTCTGCTTCTTAAGTTTTATTCACCATATTTGCATTTCACTCTTCTATTGTAGTACAGTCCTAATATGTGAGATCAACCTTATCTGAATTTCACAACCTTCCTGTGATCATAGTTTACCTAGACCAGTTCTTCTTAAACAATGTAATGTTGGGGACGAGCCGGATGTCTTCACAGTATCCCCTGGTTCTGAGTGGTTTTTTTTTCTTACTTGGAATTCATTATGGATTGGCAACCAATGGCCACCACTTTAAGTAGCACCAACCTAGTCAATGCCACAGGTCAGCAAAGAGGGGAAACTAGGGGTGAATCGACACTGACCTACTATATTGGAGCTGATCTGGCATGGCATAAACCAGATTGGCTCTGGGATGGGTCAAACAGGCACTCTCCTGGCTGCTGCAGGGGGTGGACGACTCTGACAGTCCAGCAAGCATCAAACATATTTTGACACTTCTGGAAACCCATCCTTATGCCTTCCCATCTTCCATGTCCAGGAAGTTTCAGCAGTGACATGGGTTCTACCTGTCATCAGCTGTAATTACATTGCCTGAGGTTATGGAGAACATGAATCATCACTGCAGATAACAGCAGACAAGTAAGACAAGACGATGGGAGGTAGACAGGGAGGACACAGAGGTAAGTACCATTCCATGTTCCCAGACCATTCACACTACTGCATCCAGGACATTTTTTTACCTGAGCTCTCTTGCTGCACCTATTATTTCCCATGCAGGAATCTACAAGAAAACAATCTTGTTTTACCAACTCCTAAAGCAATTGCCTACAACTGAAAACATTAAAAACATCTCCTCATTTAAAATGTAAGAAGTAATGGTTATCATGTTATATAAAAAATATTAAGAAGATGTATAAATTCTTATATCTCCTACGTGATATGTGTTTTTGTGTTTTTTAAACATTTATTATTTGTCTTGCCAGCCCAACTGCTCTGCCATAGCAGCTTGCCAGAAAAACTGTGTGCAACCTTGTGACACATGTACATTTAACAATCTGGTAAATGTTTTGTGGGTTCAAAAATGGAATGTGATTGGGTACTTAATAAGAGGCTTGTAGCGAGGATATCCAAGATGGGAAGAAACAAGTCTGCATTCTACCCACACTGCCTACATTTCATCAATATAAGGAACTTTTATTTTGTTCAATGAAATTTATACTTATGTAGGTATGTACATGATTGCACCAAATGTGTCAATCCGCATCTGAAAGCATATGCAGGAGTTCATATTTACCAAAGATGAATACCTAAATCACAAGTCTTTCCCAATCTCACAACGAAAATATTATTCAATATTGAAGAACACTTAACATCGTCCTTTCAATGTTACACATGTATCAGTCTCCAAGTTGGTCATATAGTATGAATAACTGCACCCTGATATATGAGAAGGAAGAACATACTACAAGCCCGTGTAAAATGATGATTCACTATTTTCAAAAATGTTATTCATTTTTCTTCTGTTTGTATTTATATACAACTAAATTCTATGGTAAGGTTTCTGAATTGTCAGGAAACTACTGGAAAGAAAGGACATTCTTCTCTCCACATTTGCAGGTTTAACATTCATGGATTTTGATTATTTTTGGATTTGATTAATATGTGATCTCTAGGGATCTCTAGTCTAGGTCCTTCAGGGCTACTTCCACTTGAATTTGACCATAGACTCATGTTGGAGGACCTAGAGATTCCTTCAGAAGCTGCCAAATGGTTCATTGAATAAAAAAGCCTGAACATCCAAGTAAGCGCAAATGAGGAATTCTCTGATAATTTCTGTAGACTGAGGCTCCTTCTACACTGCCATATAACCCAGATTATCAAAGTGGATAATCCACATCATCTGCATTGAAGTGGATTGTATGAATCTACACTACTATATAATCTACTTCAAAGCAAATAATCTGGATTTTATATGGCATTATAGAAGGGGCCTGAGGTCAACTTCACCAAATGCATGGATTTTTTAAAATAGTGTCAGAAGCGACTTGAGAAACTGCAAGTCGCTTCTGGTGTGAGAGAATTGGGGATCTGCAGACGTTAACCAGGGGACACCCGCATATGTTAACATCCTGTGGGAGGCCTCTCACATGTCCCCACATGGGAAACTGGAGCTGACAGGTGGGAGCTCACCCTGTGCTGCAGATCTGAACCACCGATCTTCAGGTCAACAGTTCAACCGGCACAAGGATTTAACACATTGCGACACGGTGGCTCCTAATGCATGGAGTGACATACCTAGAAACATCTATATGAGCAGGCTGTATGTATGAATAGCAATATAAATGCAAAACTTGCAGGTGTGATGATAAGTATGTCTGTGGCGAACAAACGCAGGAGGAAAGTCCAAATGAATCACTAATAGTCTAGCTGAACAATATTCCTGGACATTCATATTGTGCACTGCTCATTTCGTTTGATATGCTTATTTTTCTTTAATAAACTTAATTTAAAGGAGAACTGTGCAATAGACTGCACTGGTGTGACATACATATAGAATAGAGCCAAACTTTGGACTAAATAAATACAATGTTCCCTGTAGATGAACTTGTGGATACATTGAAACAGAAACCAATTTAGGATCCTGTATAAACAGTTCTCCTACAACCCCAGAATGGATCAAATTCTACAGGCAGATATTTGGGGTTTTAATAAAACCAAATTTTATTCCATCACAGAAGATGTCATCATAACTACAGCAAATTAAACAGTTCAGCCACTGATTTAATGGGTTAGGCTGCAGGCCAAGAGGTGATTCGCTGACCACTTCCTACTGGTTTTCTCTCACGGATTTAAAACAATTTTAATGTATTGACAGTTTTGGAGTGATATTTGTTGGTATGTTAAAATAATGCTATTTTTCAAATTTGCCAATAGACCTCAACAAAAAAGGAAATACTGAATTGGTTCTGCAATTATCAGGAATGCTTCACAATTAAATTGGGAAAACACTGTTCATAAAAACTCAGGAAGACTTATATAATAATTAATGTTCTCATTTATTAATATAGCCTACAATGGAGATAAAAGAGAAAGCAGGGTTCCTGTTACTGAAGAACCTGACAAGGTGAGACATGCAGCAACAGCACAGAATTCATTCCCTTTCTCTCACACATACACATACCCATCTCTTTGGGAATGTCTAGATCCTCCAGAATTCCCACCATAATTCCCAAACTGCCCCATAAAGGTCAACCTCACATTTGGTAGAACTACAATTGGGTTGTTGGGCGGGGGGGGGGGGGGGGGGGGGGGGGGAGGGTGTTCTTTGTCTTTCTTCTCAGGTTCTGGCAGGGTTTCTATCCCATAACCCAAATTCTTCTGCTTCCAATACTTCATATGACTGACAACATGGACATGCCCTCAGGCCAGATCTCTTCTACACAAACACAGTAAGTCCAGCCCTTTTTAATCCTCCACTGCTATTGCTGTGGTTACATAGAATGACAAAAAAAGATGATGAATAAAACCAACAGCCATGCCTAAATTGGGTCAATTATGAAGTACACTTCATAACATAAAACAGGGATGGATGATATACAGCCTACAATCCACTTGTGTTTTCCCACTATTATATTTCTATTGTGGACTAGATGAGGGAAAACAAACTGAAATTGAATCCAAACAAGACAGAGATCCTGCTGGCTTGGAGGCCCAGAGCCCACGCATCTGCCAGGGCCTGCAGCCATGCGCCTTTTACTTTAGAGCAAGAGGTGTTCGGCTGGCTGCAGGCCCTATGAAGCGCTGGGGATCTGGGCCTGCAGGCCACACATGCACTTTCTTTCTTTCCAAGGAGAGTGTGTGGCATGCAGGAGCACCTGCATCTGCCAGGGCCTGCAGCCGAGCGCCTCTTACTCTGTGATGCCAAAAAGCAAACAAGGAGCCAGGGCCCGTTCCTGATTGCTTTTGTGTCCAGCTGATTTCTATAGAATCACAGAGTTGGAAGAGACCTTGTGGGCCATCCAGTCCAACCCCCTGCCAAGAAGCAGGAAAACTGCATTCAAAGAACTCCTGACAGATGGCCACCCAGCCTCTGTTTAAAAGCCTCCAAAGAGCAGGAAGGGCTTTCCTGTTTCATGCTCCCAAAGAAATGAAAGACACAAAAGAAACAAAGGAAATGGAGAAGCCTAGTTGAGGTTATGCTCCCCCTGAAGACACAGTTCTGCAGTTTGGGGATCCTCCTGGACTCGGCGTTGAACCTGGAGGCCCAGGTATCTGCGGTGGCCAGGAGAGCCTTTGCACAATTAAAATTTGTGCGCCAACTGCGTCCATTCCTTGAGAAGTCAGATCTGGCCATGATGGTACATGCCTTCATTACATCCCATCTGGATTACTGTAACTCTCTCTATGTGAGGCTGCCACTGAAGAGTACTCAGAAAATTAAGCTGGTCCAAAGAGCTGCAACCAGGTTGCTATCTGGGGCTGGCTACAGGGAGCAAACAACCCCCCTGTTGCAGCAGCTCCACTGGCTGGCAGTCTGTTCCTGGGCACAATTCAAAGTGCTGGTACCTTTAAAGCCCTAGACCAGGGGTCCTCAAACTAAGGCCCAAGGGGCAGATACAGCCCTCCAAGGTCATTTACCCAGCCCTCGCTCAGGGTCAACCTAAGTCTGAAACGACTTGAAAGCACACAGCAACAACAACAATCCTATCTCATCAGCCAAAAGCAGGCCCACACTTCCCACTGAAATACTAATAAGTTTATATTTGTTAAAATGGTTCTTCGTTGTTTTAAGTGTTTTTTGTAGTACAAATAAGGTATGTGCAGTGTACATAGGAATTCATTCATCCTTTTTTCAAATTATAATCCAGCCCTCCAACAGTTTGAGAGACTGTGACCTGGCCCTCTGTTTAAAAAGTTTGAGGACCCCTGCCCTAGACAGTTCAGGTCCAGGTTATTTGGCTGATCCCATCCCCTTGTACAAACCTGCCCTGGCCCTAAAATCTTCAGGAGAGGCCTTTCTCTCAGTCCCAACTTCATCTCAAGCATGGCTGATGGGAACAAGAGAGCTGGCCTTTTTGGTGGTTGCCCCTCAACTCTGGAATTCCCTGCCCAGAGAAGCCAGAATGGACTACTCCCTGATGTCCCTTCTGCAGTAGGCAGGCTTTTAAAGATGAAGGTTTTTAAGATCAGTTCAGGGGGTGCTGTGGTTTTTAATTTTGAATTTGTTTTAATGATTTTTAACTGGGATTTTTTAACCCTGTTTTAAGATTCATATGTTTGTATATTTTAAATGGTTACGCTGATGCTTTTATACTAGACTGCTCTGAGTCCAATCAGAGGAGATAGATCAAGGTATAAATATAAAAATAATAATAACAACAATATTATCAAAACATTAATGAATCACCACAACTAAAATAAAACTAATATTTTACACTTATATGAATACAAATAACTTCATTTGATGAGATTAATAGAGAACTCAGCACCAGGCAAGGCTCTCAGTTGCATTCTACAACTGTGGCAAAACAACAGAGAAAAATGTCTATTTCCCAGTGAGCACTGGAATATGAAGGAGGATCATGTAAAACTTAAAAGGACTTACATTTCAGTGTTTCTCCAGCATATGGAATATGCAACTTAAAGCGATCACAGCTGGGCCCAAGAGTCAAGGATGTACAGCTAGAATAAAAAGAAGTTATTCATAGAGACTCATCCACAATATTATATTCTAATAAGGAACCATGCATTTCTCAGATGGACTGACACTAGGAAATTGTGCTGCAAATGTATCATGGAAAGAATGAAGTTCCTATTTTTGTTTTCTAGGCTGACACACATTGGACCAACAAAGTAAAAGTAATAAATACTATGAACCAAAAGACAGAGCTTCTCTTGAATTGTTTACTGTGAACACGCACATAGACTATGTTAAGTATTGTGGGTTAGAGCCATATTTAGCTGGCTTTTTCTACAGTATTGCGCTCCCACATTTCCTTACTACGCAAACCATGATTCACACATGCGAATTTCTGGCATCCACCTCCAGAAAGCACAATCACAAATCACAAGAATTGAGCCTGTGGTTTTAGAAAAAGACATACAGTATGGGATTTGAAAGAATGGGAGGTAAAGATGTAGAGTTAATTTCACTACTAGTACTCTCTACTAAATCCAAAATAGCTTCTAAAGTCCCTGCTAAAAAGACAGCACTACCTTTGAAATAAACAGACAAAAAGAGGCCCTTAAAAAGTGTAAGTTTAACTTTCAACAGCTCTTAGAATTTTAAAATGGAGCCTCCCCCTACCCTCATAGGAACATTAGGTGGGAACATGGGATAACACCTTTTTGGTGACTGTTCCCAAGCTCTGGATTTTCCTCCCAAAACAGTTTGCACTGGCACCCTCCTCGTTATCTTTTCACTGAAAAAGTTAAAACTTTTAAAATAGAAGCAGGAAGATTTTATTTATTTATTTATTTATTTATTTATTTATTTATAATTCAAACTTACATGCCGCCACTCCCCTGGGGCTCGGAGTGGCTTACAAGAACAGGCTAAAATCTAACACAATTTAAAACAATTTTCAAACAATTTAAAAACAAGATTGACTGCTTAAGGTGACTAGGCTTTCCAGAATTGTGGTATAATGCCTGCATTTCATTTTTTTTAATTTTTTGGTTACTATGTTTTTAAAATGGTTTTGATTTTAAGGGTAGTTTAATGATTTTTAACTTTTATATCTCTTGTAAGGTATGGATATAGTTCTTTTAAATGATGTAAGATGAGTTGAACTCCAGACGCAGAAAAGGTAAGATTATGATAACTACAACTACTCCTAAATAATACATTATCATGCTGTGTCTCTTACAGGAAACAGGAGAGCCAATGTAATTTTGTCTTATGGCCTTCCCAAGAATTTCATAGGGTTTTCTTAGGTACGAACAATTTTGCTAGTTTCTTCCAATGAAACATAGCTTATTTCCAAATAAATGTTTTGCTGCCTCCTCTGAAATCCATTCCACATCCTTCCCAATACTTTTCCTAACTACAATTAGTCTGACTGGTTCTGATTAACCTTATGAATTATTACTTTTATTGTCAAGAACTTGCTTTGTTTAATTTATTGTCTGAAATTTAAAAAGACAAAATTTATTAAGTTTCTTGGATAATTAAAATAAAATTACTACTAAATATACTGGATAAAAAATCAAAGTATTAATTTTCTAAATTCTTCATGGATTCTCTTTTATGTTAATTTGGAATCATTGGCTCTTCACTCCAACTTTTTCTTTGTGCACTGCAGCCATTGCATGTTCTCGCAAATACAGAGGGATACAGATTATAGCAGTGGATAATGAATCCAAATAATGCAGTAAATAATCCAGCTACTGCACAAAACAGACACAACATTAGAAACAATGGAGATAAACAAAAGAGATACTGTTCATTGTCTGCTGGTAAACAGAGCTTCAGAATCAGTTCTGTCCAATGTGAACAGCCACTTTTTCTGCTCAAACTAATGAAAAGTTATCACTATGTAAAATTATTAAGTAAGTTATTGATAATAGTTCAATTTATATTATTACTAAAATATATATCAGCAGTAGCAGATTTCTATGTAAAGAAATCAGTTTAACATTATCAAGAAACAGAAAATTCCAATATCTTTATAAATATGGAATATCAAAAGATTTCTGATTTTGTAAATGTTGACCATATAATACTTAGGAGAAAAGAATAGTTTAACTCAAATGATAATGAAAACAGTGGATAATAAATAGCATTCTTAAAAAGCAATACAAAATATTTTAGGCCGCAGTAGCATTTGTAGAATTAAATATAAGAGTCTTAAAGATACATAGTTAAAATTAATAACATCTTTTGTAAGTGAATTAAAGTACAGAAAACAGATATAGTCTTAAAAATTTCTTCTTTAAAAGCATGCCTGAAAAGAAAGGTTTTAATCTGCCGCCTGAAGGACAGCAGGGAGGGAACAATTCTGGCCTCCCTAGGTGGGGAATTTTATAGCAATAGTGATATAACTACAATAAAATACAAAGATGTAAACAGAAAGATAAAAATACAAAAGCAACTGGACATTCACATTTCTGTTTAATATGCACCCCAAGAAATAAACGTATTGATATGCAATATTAAGCTCTACACCTTGAAGTACAGTTTACAGGGTATAAGGAGTATGTAAATTTAACTAGCTCTTGTTTGCTTTTTCTTCACCATTCTTCAGAGACCAGAAGAAGAAGGTCTATATCTTTATAATACCATCTGCTATAATATGGACCTATGAGAACAATTGCCTTCCAAGAGAACATTTTTTTTCATAAGTAAGGAAATGAGTAAAGAGATATGGCAGACTAAACTTTGAAAAGTTCAAAGTTTTCAATACAGCTCACACAAAAAAGGTGGAATTGACAATTAAACGATTCAGAAATATGCTCTCATCATAGCCATTATGCTAATGTCAGAAAGGAAGTCAGCTAAATTAAACTTCTTTGGAATGAGACTGTACTCAACTGAAAGATCAGATCTGCAGCTAAGGAGGGTTCCTAGGGCTATCAAAGCTCTAGAACTATAGTAACAACCACTTGTGCCCAGCTTTGACTGATGATTTGCATATCCCCTTTAATGGAAAAAGGTACATTTAACAATAATGTGTCGACACATGCATTGATTACCAGTATGTCTGCTTGAGACAACTGCAACAAGTTTTTAATTTCTTGAAAGTTTTTTTGTTGCAATGTATAAGCTAGTGTTTTTTTAAAAAAAATTGCCGTTCAAATCACAAAATCACAAATATTTTTAATAGAATCTGATTAATTTCCAAACACAGCTTGAAGTGTTGAGTTCTGCTGCTAAATCCCAACAAAATTTGGATTCTAGAAGAACTGCCTCTACATTCTGCAGCTGGGGTCTTAATCAATGCCCCACTATCATATGAAGTACCTTGGACATGAAATTTAACACTGATCACCTTTCAATCTTACTGCCATTTTATTTGCATTTTTACCATTCTTATAGATTAGCCAGTTTTTAAGTATTTTCCATAATGTTTAATTTATATCAGATTATGTGTACTGTTGGGTTGACCTCAAATAGAGTGAAAGTAAAAATAGAATATTTAAACAAAATAGGCTACAGAATAACTTTCCAGCAAAAGAAAGGTCTGCCCCATATTATAATTCCATGAGCAATGCCACAGTTAAGAATGTATCTATTATGTTATGCGAGCTGTGCTCCAGTATTCCTTACAGCTCAGAAATGTCAGCTGTCAAACTATATTTATTTTATTTTATTATTTATTTATTTATTTGCTTCATTTTTATACCGCATTTTTCAGCCCTTAACAGGCGACTCAATGCGGTTTACAGTGCAATTAAAACACAACAATGCAACAACAGGATCGACGACGTCGATCCACAACAATTAACAATCAGACAGGACAAATCAACAAACAACATATATAACGCCTCAGTTGAAATCAGATCCGTTCTCATAGTCGTTGTGCCGTTCCTATGTTCCATTTACCGTCTTCCTTGATTAGTTGCATTGCTCAGCCAAACGCTTGTTCGTAAAGCCAGGTCTTGACCATTCTCCGAAACGTCAGCAACGAAGGTGCCTGTCTGATAACCCTTAATGAACTATAACCCTTAATGAACTATAACCCTTAATGAAAAATCTATTCAATGCATTCATGCTTACTAGCATGGTAGCCAAAGCATTTATTTTTACAGCTTCTCTGTTCTTTGGACTGAGGCTATTGCGACCCCACTATATTATACAGAGAACATAAGCACCAACAAGAAGACTGATCAACTTCAAGTTACTATCCTATGCCTACTATCTGCATTCTGGCCAGGAAGATGAACAACACTGAGGAATATAGTAAGCTGTCTTACACATAGATCATTTGATTCACCACTCACTATCACAGAGATAGTAGAATCTCTTTTTGGACTCAATCAGGCATTTGGGTCCTGTTAGCTATTTCCCATTTTTTGTGAGGTAGAAACATTTTATAAATATGTCAGGTTTTCTAATGTTACTTTTGTAATATTATTAACTTTATTTCGACCACACTAAAGACATTCTACAATAGAAATGTAACTGTGGTTCTACACCAAAGAGGCTTCAACAAAGATATTCACCTGAGTAGATAGCAGAAGCCATCCACCAAGATTTGAAGATGCAGAGGCAGTCAAGACTGTCTGTGAATTTACAGGACAATCTTCCCCAGTTTCCATCTCCAACTCCATGTCAGTCAAATCAGAAACTATTTGCCTATCTTTCGTGCTTTCATCAGGAAGGACAAAAGAAATGAAACTTTGGATGCTTCAAATAGTATGCATTTCCTCACTGGGGTAAAGAAAATTGTGGATGTTTCTGTAAAATGTACTCTGCTCCTCTATGGGAGCTGGCATGAAATATACCCTCCCGCCCACTCTGGCAATCCTTTCTTTGTAAAGTGTTGTAGGGGATTTGGATCTCAGTACTCAAGATTGCATGGTCCCTCTACAACCATACTTTTACTTAGAAGGGATTATCCATTTAATTTTATTGCATCGTAAAAATAGGTTAGCATAACAATCAGTTTCAAAACATCTTTCTCAATGTAAAATTGCTTGTAAAATTCATAACCAGTTTGGTTATCAGTTCTCATAATCTGAATTCCCCACATAATTTCTGGAAAACAGTAAGACAGTAAAACAGTATTTTAACAAGACATTCAAGACTAGAAATCTAGTTTTGCAACTCATTCTTACATGCATCAGTATCTTTCAATGTAAAAGTTCAAAATGAACCTTTACCGTATACATAAATGACAGACATAATATACAATGAAGTACATAGATAGGCAGGCTTCATCTGAGTACCAATAAGCATGCCAAGAAACTGATGGAAGTTTTTTTTTTTTTCACTCTGGAGCTACAGTACATTAAATAGCCTCCAATCGGCTAAATAGGCTATATACAGAAACAAAGCTCTGTACCGGGTACTAAACATCATTCTGATATTAATGCTAACAGTTAAAAAGTAAATTTAACACTGAAGAGCAGCTAACTAGCATTCAATAAAAGCCACTTTAGGGAATACTCTTCACAGAGCTCTGTACTTCTGATATTATTTTCATTTCAGTCAAGAAATCAATCTGAATCCAAATTAGATAATAGCTATCAAAAGTGAAGAAAACAAAACTTGGTGTGGACAGTAAATGCTCAGAACATTAAGTTCACTTCCAAAATAAATTTGCAGGAGGTTCTGATGAAAAAGTATTGACAGCAAAACTGTTGCATGCACATTATTCCAATTCATTGAAGAAACCTACCCAGATTTCAGATCTGTAATCCTTAAAGAGTTAGTTGCATCCAGTCCTACTTTTCCATTTTTGACCACACTAGAAATCAAAGGAGATAGTGATGGAGAAATTCTATTCAAGGCGATTTCAGGGGACATATTAATTTGTATGTTGTATTCTGTCCTGCAAGAAAAAATAATTGAGAATTCATCAAATAATACCTATCTCGTTTAGCGTATGCAATCTTACATTCTACAACATGATAATTCGGAGGTCCAACAGACACATACAAGGTAGAGCAAAATGAAGTAAACTAGGGGAACCAAAGAAATTGGTAGAAAGATTGAAAGGAGCAAAGGAAACAAAGTGGTAGCCAAGTTAGAAGGCAATATCTGACCAACCACTGACTGATTTGCTTCCTCTATCCCACAGTAATAGGTATGAGATTATATGCCTTCATATAATTTAGCAAGCATTTCACCTGCAAATCAAAATACAGCATGTGGCTTTTCCATTTTTTCCACTATCCAGTTCAACTATATATTGAAACTTGTCACCCACCAAGATTAACACAGCCCACCACTGACTTGATACATCTCCTGATTTTGCTGCCTGGCTAACAACATCATGTAGTAAAAAGGATTAAAACACTTGTGGGAAACCATATATGGCTGGTAATCTACATTTGGCTCAGAACTACAAGCCAGACATTTATGTCATTTCTGGAATTTTGAGACTCCAGTTTTAATTAATCTCAAAAAGTCAGTTCCACAACTACTGGCTGAATCAGTACAGTCTTCCTACATACATGTGATACTAAGATTCACCACAGAGGAATAATCACTGAGATGCAACTTCACTGTAACACTTACAATAGTGGATAAAATAAGAGGAGTTATGAAAAAAAATCATGATCTAACCTACCCAAAATCCTACAATCATAATTCATTCACATAAAACACTACTTTGAAGAGCTCACTATTCATAAAAAAACAGAAATATCACATTCTGTATTACTATCAGCTGTCAACCAAGTTACAAGCATACAAATTTTATAGTTCGCAAGGCATAATTATAATACTTAACATATGTGATTCCCAAATTTTAGTCTTTCAGCTGTTTTAGACTTCCAGCTACCAGAAGCACCAGCAGCTTGGCCAAATGTCAGGAATTCTAGGAGTTAAGGTTCTAAACATCTGGAAGACCAAAGTTTTGTAAGCACTGCTTTAAGGCTACCAAATGACCCAAAACAAAACATTCACAATGTTAACTGTTCTGAAGAAAGTGCACACTACCATTTCCAGGGATTTCTTGACAGTGCTACTTAATCCTGGGAATTTGTTTCAATCATCTTGGTGATATGAATTAAATTAAGACATATGAGAAACAATATTTTATTTTTACAGGAACCAGCTCGGCCACAAAGATAATGGTAGAAACTTTCATTTCTATTTTCAATCAGTGGGAGCATTGGGCCTTACTATTTATCAAATTAAGACAATTTCATGTAACTAGATTGCTAAACCTCACATTTTCCCCATATCATACTAAGGACTCAGTACAATTTAGTTTATTTGCGGCATTAGATTGAACTGCAATTAACTGAATAAAGAAACAAAGATCCCCCGATCATACACACAGCAAAGGAGAAGGCAAATACACATGCCCAATCCTTCTCCTTTTGGCAAGTTTATTATTACAGTGGATCCTGGGTATCCACTGGAATTTGAGTCTAGGTTCCACCCATCTATCCTTTGGATACCAAAATCCATGGATGTCTAACTTCTAGTATATACAATACCACAGTAAAATGGGGCCACTTATATAAAACAGAAAATCAAGGTTTGCTTTTGGCATGTTTTACAAAATAATTCCAATGCATGGGACCCGTGAATACAGAATCCATGGATGTGGAGGGTCAACTGTACAGCTTAATATAGCAATTTAGTTACAGACAAAAGCAAGCAAGTGTGCAGATGCAAGGTATATGAAAACCATACACATTAGCCAAAAGTAAAGAGGAACCTGGCAGCTGGAGAACACCATGGTGGGGAAGGGTACCCCACCATCTTGGCAGAATGCACTAAAGGCCACAACTGACACATATGCTAACTTTTATTACATTTGGTCATTAACTGGGTACATGGCCACCTGCATTAACAGTCCTAAGCTTCTCCTTCATATGAAGTTGCCCTAGACCAAGTCAGCTCATTGACTTGTTCTGCCCAGAGTTGGAACTGTCCAGGACTCCAGGTGTGGGACTGCCAACTCCCTGAAGCCTTAGTCAACATAACAACACTGATATAATCAATACAATAAATTTTAACATCAGCTCTCAAAGATCCCATGTTAATGTTCACTGCGTAGAATTAGGGTTGGATGGAAGAGTTCTCGTTTCAAAGTTCTGCGACAGATAAAACGTATCGTTTTCCACAAACATATCATGCAAAAAACAAAAAAAAAAAGCTTCCAGTCACACATTGGAATCTCTCTTTCTATTATCTTTCTTCTTCTCCTGACACTCCTCAAATCTTCTATAGACATTGTCCCAACCATCTAGGACGTATGTTTGGGAACACTTGGGGTGAAAAGAATGTATCAGTTGCAAATTAGAAGGGTTGCAGTGGCGCAATGGGTTAAACCCTTGTGCCAGCTGAACTGCTGTCCTGAAAGTCAGTGGTCTGAATCTGTGAGACAGGTTGAGCTCCTGTCTGTCAGCTCCAGCTTCCCATGCGGGGACACAGAAGAAGCCTCCCACAGGTGTCCCCTGGGCAACGTCCTTGCAGATGGTCAATTCTCTCATACCAGAAGCAACTTGAGTTTTTTATCTGACATGATAAAATAAAGTTGAAAATTTTATTGGCAGACCAACTCTGGTAAATTTCATCCATTTAGAACACCCTAATTAAACTTAAGTTATTATCCTTTTATTGGAGATGGGTGGCTATAGTTGAAACAAGATGGGACAGTAGTGTTGATAGTGTAAAAGAAGGACTGGATCAATCCAGGCTCAAATTTTTAGTCAGTCCTGAAACTTTCTGGGTGGGCTTAGCACTAATAATCACTTCTCAGCCTGAAATACATTACAAGATTATGTGGATAAATATGAAGAGGATGAGGACTGTCAGGCTGAAAACAAATACAGCTAACAAACAGAGATAGATCCCACCAAATAAACTGGATTTTCTCAACCCACTATGTTTCATTTGTGGAGTTTTGTTTGTATAGCCACTTTCTTGATTATCCATGGATTCAACAATTCATGGCTCAAAATGTTTTTTAAAAAGATTTAAAACAAATATTAATTGCACCATTACATACGAAGTGGGCCAAAAGTCACAAACAGCTTTCAATATTATTTAATAACTCCCTTTATTTATTGTTTATTTATTTACAATATAATAGCATCATATATACCAAGTATGGGCAAACTTCAGCCCTCCAGGTGTTTTGGACTTCAACTCCCACAATTCCTAACAATCTTTGAAAGGAAATTATATTACAGGTCCAAAATCAAATTGAATAAAACAGTGTAAAATTTTATTTTATTGCATGCCAGAAAAGCACCTTTGTGACTTTTAGACCACCCTGTATAAGAGAGAGCTTGCTACACCATTGTATGTAATTGGGATAGAGCACCCACAGATTTGGGTATTGAAAAGGGGCAGTTGTGGTCCTGGAACCAAACCATAGTGGATACCAAGGGCCCACATTGCATTTGCCAGACATCTTTGGAGACCCCAAAAGCCACTGAGAACAAATGAAGTTGCCACAACTTTTGTACCAGTTATCAAAGCTATGTCACCTACACCAGTAGTTCCAAACCTTTGGACTAACACAGGCATGGGCAAGCTTTGGCCCTCCAGGTGTTTTGGACTTCAACTCCTACAATTCCTAACAGTCTATCGGCTGTTAGGAATTGTAGGAGTTGAAGTCCAAAACACCTGGAGGGCCAAAGCTTGCCCATGCCTGGACTAAGAGGTTTGGGGAATTCTGTTCCTAAAATCCCCAGCCAGCTGTCAGCAATGTCACTTGAGGACTAAACGTTGGGAACCACTGGCCTATACCAAGGCGCCATCTTCCTACAAATAGCAGCAACAGAAGCCATGCTGAGGGATTTTGTAGAGCAGTGGCTCTCAACCTTCCTAATGCTGTGACCCCTTAATACCGTTCATCGTGTTGTGGCGACCCCCAACTGTAAAATTATTTTTGTTGCTACTTCATAACTGTAATTTTGCTACTGTTGTGGATCATAATGTAAATATTTGATATGCAGGATGCATTTTCATTCACTGGACCAAATTGGCATAAATACCCAATACGCCCAAATTTGAATACTGGTGGGGTTGTGGGGAGGAGTTGATTTTGTCATTTGGGAGCGGTAGTTGCTGGGATTTATAGTTCACCTACAATCAAAGAGCATTCTGAACTCCACCAATGATGGAATTGAACCAAACTTCCCACACAGGACCCCGATGAACATCAGAAAATACAGAATGGGTTTGGTGGGCATTGACCTTGAGTTTTGGAGTTGTAGTTCACCTACATCCAGAGAGCTGTGGACTCAAACAATTTTGGATCTAGACCAAACGTGGCACAATACTCAATATGCCCAAATATGAACACAGATGGAGTTTGGGGAAAATAGACCTTAACATTTGGATGTTGCAGTTGCTCGGATTTATAGTTCACCTACAATCAAAGCGCATTCTGAATTCCACCAATGATGGAATTGAACCAAACTTCCCACACAGGACCCCCATGACCAACAGAAAATACAGGAAGGGTTCGGTGGGCATTGACCTTGAGTTTTGGAGTTGTAGTTCGCCTACATCTAGAGAGCACTGATGGATCTAGACCAAAACTGAGGACTCAAACAATTTTGGATCTAGACCAAATGTGGCACGAATACTCAATATGCCCAAATATGAGCACAGATGGAGTTTGGGGAAAATAGACCATGACATTTGGATGTTGCAGTTGCTGGGATTTATAGTTCACCTACAATCAACGGGCATTCTGAACCCCAATGATAAAATTGGGACAAACTTCCCACAAAGAACCCCCATGACCAACAGAAAATCCTGTGTTTTCTGATGGTCTTTGGCGACCCCTCTGACACCCCTCTCATGGCCCCCTCAGGGGCCCCGGCCCCCAGGTTGAGAAACACTGTTGTAGAGGGAGAGGGGCCGTCCCAGAGAAAAACAGGCCCCAGGTCGAGGTTTGAAGAGTCCAGCCTGGGATGAGGACTCTCCAGTCTTCGTAAACCCACCCACCCAGGCTTGGGAAGAGAAGCCACACACATATCCATCCCTCGAACCCCTCCTGGGGGGACGCGATGCGATATGTACCCCTTCGGCTGCGGCCACACAGGCCTCGGAGGACAGAGGAAACAAGCCTTGCCCCAAACACCCTCGCCGGCAAGTCGCCTTACCCCGGACGTTGTGCGCCTGCGCGAACCCTCCCACTCACCCCGGGAAGCGGCCCAGGCGCGCGCACACGCGCAGGCGCGTTCCCGAGCCCTCTTCACCAGCGGTGGAAAGAAGTTGAAACAAAAACCGGGGGCTTCTGCACTGCCATAGGTGTCTAATGCGCGCCTGAAAAAAAATACACCATATAAGTATATGTATATGTATATATCGTGCTTGCAAAGTTGTATCTAGGCTCTGTAATTCTGTCCGTGAGGGTAACCAGAGAGGAAATGTTGATCCACCGTTTGCTTTCAGAATGGGACGAAGTGGTTTTCAGGCAAACGCCAGGGCAGGCGCCTCAGGTAAGAGAAGGACCCCGCAGGCAAAGTGCCAGTTGAGGGCTAAAGAGGAGCAAGGTGTCAAATCTGGAGCAGGTCTTGTAGTGTAGACCAAGGAGGGTCTTACTTTGAGCTGACATGGCAGTAGCTGAAGTCGTGGTGGTGGGATCCTGTATGACTGACCTGGTGAGGTTAGTATGGCAGCTAGGAACCTCTCTGCTCTCAAATTAAATTCTAAAAATGAAGAAAAATGTAAAAAACCTGCAGAAATTATATCAAATTATATCTAATCACCAAGAAGTGTTTCACAGTAGAAATGAGGTTCATGGTGTGCTGCAAATCTCAGTATTAGTTCTGCTGGGAGTTTCAGGCTCCTTCCACACAACTGTATACAATCCACATTGAACTGGATTATATGGCAGTGTGGATGCACATAATCCAGTTCAAAGCAGATATTGTGGGTTGTCTGCCTTGATATTCTGGGAGCCCTTCCACACAGCCCTATATCTCAGAATATCAAAGCAGAAAATCCCACATTATTTGAGTGTGGACTCAGATAAAGCAATTCAAAGCAGATATTGTGGGATTTTCTGCCTTGATATTCTGAGATATAGTGCTGTGTGCAAGGGCCCTGGGTTATATGGCTATGTGGAAGGTTCCTCGGAGGATTGCTACATGATTCCCACCAGTTCTTTAAAGAATAATCTGTTTTAATAGAATACTAACAGCCCTGCAGTTAGTATGCAAAACAAAACAACACAGAATGAACTGATTACCAAAACATTATGATTTATACTCTGCCTACCAGCAGTGGAACTCTTTGCCCCGGAGTGTGGTGGAGGCTCCTTCTTTGGAAGCTTTTAAACAGAGGCTGGATGGCCATCTGTCGGGGGTGCTTTGAATGCAATATTCCTGCTTCTTGGCAGCGGGTTGGACTGGATGGCCCATGAGGTCTCTTCCAACTCTATGATTCTATGATTCTACCACTTAGATTTATTGCCAAATGTGGGGGGCAATGGTGCACAAAAAATATTGTCTCAAACAGTGATGGTTGCTCAGAAAACCTTGCAAAACCATTTTCTCAATGAAAAGTTGATTTGCTTAAGATGTACGCTTAGTAATACATGGCTATGGATTCAATGGGACTTAATTCTGAGTAAATGTATAACACTGTGGTCTTCTTAGATCTTCTCGTCATAAATCCAAAATACATATTCATATTTTTCACAGTAGTAAGCTCTTTCTATACAACCTTGATCTGGAGACCTATAGGAAGCCTTTGTATCTTTTACTGTGGTGGTTGTGAATCAAGTCATGAAAGCTTATGATACAACCTGCTAGTGTTTAAGGTGCTGTGCAGTTCTTGGTAATAAATTCAGAAAGTGTCATAAAAAGTAATTCATTTATAATAATAATAATAATAATAATAATAACAACTTTGTTCTTATACCCCGCCACCATCTCTTCGAGGGGACTTGGAGCAGCTTACAGATGGGCTGAGACGCCCACAAAACATAAAAGCCAAACAATCAATTACAGCAAAAATACAATTTAAAAAAGAGCATAATAAAATATAACAATCCAGATAAAAACAAAATTAAATAAAACCTAAAATATAAAGCAACAATGTTAAAACTCAAAACAATGTTCAACAAAACCAATAACAAAACCAATTTATGATTCCAAACCCTTTGAGGGTACTATTCTGTGCATTTTTGTCATGACCTTGACATAGTACAATAAACTATTTGATTGACCTCAAACCGAAACACACAGATATGCCATATAATCCAGTTTCTGAATGCAAAGTAACTGCATCGAACAGATTATATGACAGTAGACTCATATAATACAATTCAAAGCAGTTAAACTGCATTCTGAAACCGGAATATATGACAATGTAGATCCTGTCTGAGTCAACCACCTCAAGCTATAGATGTTGTGGGATAACAGTGGTTGCGTGTAAATCATTTTTGAACTCCCTAGCAATTCCTCTCACTGAAGGATAGGGCTGTGAACTATGTAGCCTCATATAACCTGTCACATTTAGAGCAGAGCTTTCTAAACATTTCATGTTGGTGACACACTTTTTAGATATGCATCAATTTGTAACACCGTAATTCGGTTTTATTAGCAAACCAGAGATTAAATCAATTCCTTATAAAAGACATGGACACATACCTAAATTGTAACAATGAAATGTATGGGGATACAATATCTCATGTAAACTTTTCATTTATATATATTTAAAAATATATTATTTCTTTCTTATTTCACATAGACTCAGGGGTTTCTTTTTATGTTTGTATGACACACCGACACACTAATGTGTTGTGACACAGTTTGAAAAGCTCTGCTTGAGAGGTTGTTTGCAGACTGGAGTCGTTGAATCTGCAGTGTCAACAATGAACTTTGATTTTTCCACTTCCTTTCAGTAGCACAATGTAGTGTTATAATTGTTGGACTGTACTGGTGACCAGGGCTTGAATCCCTCATAGACATGGTAAGCCACAGGGTGAACCTGGGCAAGTCGTATTTTCTCAGCCTCAAAGGAAGGCAAAGGCAAGTCCCCTCTAAATAAGTCTTTCAAAGAAAAAAATCCAGTAATAGAGTTGCCTTAGGGTTGTCATAGGTTGTAAACTACTGAAAAGCACACGGCAATAACAAGGATGTAAGATCAGAATTGAAGAGATCTGATTGCCAATTGTACAAACATCTGACTTACATAAAAATCCTAGTTACAAACGGGGGGGGGGGGTGTTAGGTCGTCCCCCCCCCCCCCCCCCCCCCCCGAGCTGGCACACTAGGCCTTTTGCAGTATTTTAAGACATTTAAATGTACAAGTAATATATATTATATTGTAAGACAAATATCTGGCCAAGTTTTCTTTGAAGTAGAACTCATTGGAACTTCTAAAGTTTTGGTTAGTATGGTGTGAGGCTAGAACTACTGTGAGATTTTACTGCTGTCTGTATCCTCATTGAAATATTTAATCTCACTTCTTATTCTTGGGACAATAGGAAATGAATCTACCCCTAAGAAGGGAAATGAACTCCTGGAAAAGTTATCATGGAAAAATACGTCTCCGCTGAAGCTTTAGCACCAATCCTTGTTTCTACAACAAATCTAAATTTCCAAAATCTAATTGTCATAGGCACAAAAAGTGAAGTGAAATCTTCTGAACAGGGGCACAGACAAAGCATATGTTACAAGGGTGTTAACCCTTCCATATACGATCCAAAACCTTGAAATATTGGCTGGAGTTATGCTTAAGAAATGTACTGTTCTAACTTACATGCTTAAAGAACCTATCGTGTTCATAACCTGGGGACCACCTGTAGAGGTGAAATCAGATATTTTTAGATTTAAAACGTCATGTTCAATTCTATATGATTTCCTTTCCTTCTGTGTATATGTACTCCTGTTCCTGATGATATGCATCTTACTATCCCACCTCATGACTGCAGTCTTCAAGATAATTTGCAAAATTCATAAAATGTAACAGTGTTGCCAATAACCTTACCCTTTAAACCAGGCATCGCCAAACTCTGGCTCTTCAGGTGTTTTGGACTTCAACTTCCAGAATTCCTAAAAGCCTACCAGATGTTTGTTTGTTTATTTTTTGTCATGTCAGGAGCGACCTGAGAAACTGCAAGTCGCTTCTGGTGTGAGAGAGCTGGTAAGTCGCTTCACACCAACACTGAATACATCTAGTCAGGCCCGTAGCCAGGATTTTGTTTTTTTTTGGGGGGGGGGGGGGTGCTGAGTCTGAGTGAAAGAGGGTCTACCCTAGCAAACCTTTTGTATCGTTACCCCAATACCCCCATGCATATGGGATATATTGAGTATAGTGATCAGATCATGATATGAATAAACATAGCAGTTTAAATAATGCACCAGTAAGGCCTTCTCGCGGACCACCATCAGAATTTCGGGGGGGGGGCTGAAGCCCCCCACCCCCCCCCCCCCCGGCTACTTGCTTGCATCTAGTAATCTGTTTCAACAATGCTTTTCTGAGCAACATCAGGAATACTACAAATAGCTAGTCTGCCATCCAATATATCCATCATAATTTTCCATTGTCCTCCCTCAAAGAGTTTGGATCTGCGATACCTTTTTCAATTTTCAGCAAGGAGGGGAGCATATAAAATACATTTGGTCCCATTATGGCTACTGGAAAAACTTTCTTTCTTTGCATATTTCTCTAATGCTAGTGGAGGATGTCTTGGAGACACCTTCATCAATGGCTACAGGTGAATGCTAGTTTTAGGAGGGAGGGGCCAGGTGGGTGTTGATCTCAAATTAATGGCAGGATTCCTGCAATCTTGCCTCTTCATTTGATTATCCCATCTGAATTTTAGAAAAGAGTGCATTTTAATTTTATATTTGTGCAGTTGCAACCCTTCCCATCAGTCTTCTTATGGAAACAGGCTTTACATCCAAAGAGTCATTCATGCTCCATAGGAAAATATATTCTTTTCAATATTTCTGATGAATCCTAGTTCTAGGAAAACTATTTTAAAACCACTAATTGAAGGAAATGTTTGAGGCAGGTTATATTAGTATATGAGTGAATAATAATGCAGGTGGATTTTATAATAACACTAATTAATTAATATTAATTGCATGTTCTATCATGTAGCCTTTATTTAGATCTAATTTACTAAGAAAGATTAACATTTAAAAAGGAAAAAAATGTGCCATCTCTTAGATTGTAAAATCAATCACTATAAGTATATCACTAGTGACTCTAGAGACCTTTTCACGTTAGAATGAGCATTCAGCACGCATCATGGCAAACCCATGGGGTCCCAGTGGAGGGAGGCGGGGCTGGAGAACCCTTCGTTCTACACCCTGCATTGCCCAACTTACCTGGACCCCCATCGCACAAGAGGAAACATTGCTGCTCAGTTTCCCCCTATTGTTCCAAAGGAAACACGGGAAGCTTCTTGTGTTGCTGCTGCTGCAGCATGCTTCCTCTCCTCTTTCACTACAGAGCCCAGCTAGAAGTTCCTGTGTGTCATGTAATGAGCGCCATGATGAAAGGGGAGAAGATGCAGCGTATGGGAAGTAAATCAGCCCATTTGATGAGGTCAAAAGTCATTATAAAATATAACATAACCCAAGTACAACAGCACACACGGGGTAGTGTATATTTATTAGAGTCTATCTCATTCATTTTGAAGTTACA